ACTTTGGGAGGCCGAGGTGGGAGGATCACCTGAGGTCAGGAATTGGAGACTAGCCTGGCCAATGTGGTAAAACCCAGTTTCTACTAAAGATACAAAAATTAGCTGGGTGTGGTGGTGGGCTCCTGTAATCTCAGCTACTCAGGAAGCTGAGGCAGTAGAATTGCTGGAACCCTGGAGGCAGAGGTTGCAGTTAGCCCAGCTTGAGCCACTGCACTCCAGCCTGGATGACGACAGCAAGACTCCATCTCAAAAACAACAACAACAACAACAACAAACAAACCAGAAATGCATTTCAGATGATCTAGGAAGTTGGTGTGGGAGAACAAGCTGGGGGAGCACTTGTTCTACCAGAGAAAAGACTTACTCTAGAGCTACAGCCATAAAATAATGGTGGTGACAAATAGATAAATATAACAATATGAAATATAATAGGGGACCTAGAATTATATCCACACATATAGAGAAACTGAGATATGGCAGAGGTAGCACTTAAGTTTATAATACTTTTAATATGAGGTTTTTGAAATAAAAGGATAATTAACTGAAAAGGATCAAAGTGGCATTCTAGGCAAATTATATGCAGGCTCTCTGTAGTGATCCTGAGTACCCATATGGTAAGAACGTGGGCGGAGAGTAATGTGATGGTGGTTATTCTTCAGTGTCTCTGCCCTGAACCCTGTGACTGATGGTGAGCACAGGCAGTCCTAGTTCCTAGTCCCTGCATTCTTTCGCATCCATAGTCCAACCTTCAGTGTTCTATTGACTCTCAAGCTGGTCTCTGCCAGGGCAGAGCTGGGCTGCCTCTCTGTGCCCCAGTATCCAATTATTTATTTTAAAAATAGGGTTGACTGTCTTTACTCCTAAAATGTTCCCTGTAACAGCTATTAATACTGTTACGCTACTTTCTCTCAGTCAGATACTGAGCTCTTAACGTACTCATAGCCCTCTATGGTCAGTTAAAAGTCCCCTTCATGATCCAGGATGGGAGCCCCACCCTGCTTACACGGTCAGTAGCCCACTTGGGCATATCTCTTTGGACTAGCTGATCAGCTGTGGCTGTCCTCTGCACTGCCTTGACCTCTTACTGTGGTCACAGGCTTACCCGGCCCCTCAGTGGACACTTGCTCCCATGCCAGCCTTCGTCACCATCCCTTACCGTCTGTGGTGATAAGAAGTCTCCCTCCTTGCTGGTTCACAATCCTTGGACAAGTAAGGTAGATTTTGAAATCACTACATGATTTCAAAAAGGAAGATAGAGTTTCCAAGAAGACTTCAACTAGAAAGGCTCTATCCTAAGAAGAATCAGACTACTTTTTTTTTTTTTTTTTTTTTTTTTTTTTTTTTTTTTTGAGAAGTTCCACTCTTGTTACCCAGGCTGGAGTGCAATGGCACGATCTCGGCTCACTGCAACCTCCGCCTCCTGGGTTCAAGCAATTCTCCTGCCTCAACCTCCCGAGTAGCTGGGACTACAGGCGTGCACCACTATGCCCAGCTAATTTTTGTATTTTTAGTAGAGACGGGGTTTCATCATGTTGACCAGGATGTTCTCGATCTCTTGACCTTGTGATCCACCCGCCTTTGCCTCCCAAAGTGCTGGGATTATAGGCATGAGCCACCGCGCCTGGCTCAGACTACCTTTTAATTCTACTTTCGAACTTCCCTTGAAATATCTGGGTGTTATAAATGAGAGCCAAGCAGGTGGAATAAAGCCCCTCAGAAATTTAGAATTAGTATTTTTTCACCCGCAATTTTTGTTTGACACATTTTCCCCCAGTTTTTTGTGGTAACTACGTATATCATAAAATCTACCATCTTAATCACTTTTAAATGTACAGTTCAATAGGATAAAATGCATTCATAATGTTGTACAAACATCACTGCCATTCATCTCCAGAATTGTTTTTATATTGTAAAACTGAAACTCTATACATATTACGCAATATGGATGACAGACTTGCAAAGAATGCTCTGCAATAGTTGTTTTTGTTTTTGTCTTTGTTGCTGTTTTTTGAAGGTATTAACACATCAGTTGCCGAAAGTATTTGGAAACTGATTAGAAAGCTATTAGAAAAATACGTAGGACCATATCCAGAAAAACAAAATATCACTTACAGTTTTGTTAACTTAAATTTTTATTTGAATTTAAATTTATCTTCTCCACTCATGGATCAAAAGGAGTCTCAATTTAATGCCTAACTTGAATTCAAACTAATTGTTTTCTCAATTGACTCAACTATATGTTTTGTTATATGAAATCTAATTTTTTGAGGGAGTTCCTACCTGGATAAAGAGATAAAAATATTCATTTGTATGTGGAATTAAGTATAGGACTCCCTTTCCATGGTCAGTGGATGTAAAAAGAGAAGTAAGACATTGTCCCTGCTTATGGAGCTCAGTCTAGTGGGTGAGTCCACACATTAAGAAACTCTGAGAATAGAATTGCAGGGACAGAACTAACACGAGACCACAAAGGAAGCACAGCTGCCAGAGTGTGAAAAGAGAAGCCCTGGAGAAGGTGCCAACTGAGCCAAACAAGAGTAGGAGTTGGCCAGGTAAGCCTGGGAAGCTTGTGGAGGGGAGCCCGAGAGGACGTTTCAGGTGGAGAGATGGAGCAAAGACACAGCTAGAAAATAGAATTGTGTAGTGGAGATGCTAGTTAAGTTAAAGTCAAAAGTATGGAAGAGAAAGGGAGAAAACCAGATTGGAAACCAAACAAGACACTGAGGACTTTATCTTTCTTGTTGAGGGGCCTGAACAAAATTCTTTGAAGCAAGAAACCATACAAAAGTCTGTTGAGGCTTTATTATGTGGCATTCCCTTCCCAATCAGGAGAGTGACCATCAACTTCTTAGGGGTAGTGCAAATGCAGATTTTTCAAGAGGTCAAGATTAGCTTCCTATGGGGAAGCTGGTTAAAAGACTTTTATGTTGCACACCTTAAATATATAAAACTCTCTATTTGTCAGCTGGAAATAAACTAAATATACAAAGAAGAGCTCAGACAAGCTCTGATCACTACAGAGATTAGGGCAGCCACACTTTAGTCTACTTTTGAACTCTAGCTCCTGATAGTTAAACCTAACCAAATTCCTGAGTTAGTAAACTTTAGTTTGCATTTCTTAATTTCTTCTTACAGCAATTTCTCTAATGTTGTTAGACCTTCATATTCGTAAGCAAGGAAGTTAAATGCAAAATATGTAAATTATCAAAAGAAAATCCAGCTGTGGGTATGAAAGGGATATCTTGGGCATATATCCACTCAGAGGGAACATTTTTGACAAATGCAAATACAATTGTCTGAGTAGATGATAAAATTAAGTAGATGATAAAATTATTGCAATTAAGCTAAAGAAAGTGTCAGAAAGAAACCACGACTTGAAATGTGTTAAGTAATTTTGGAGGTACTTCTAAGTGAACATCAATAAGGATAGACATATAGAAATGATTGAAATCAATCTGGTTTGAGTTAAAAATGTAGTTTGGGTTGAATCAATTTAAAAAAATTTTCCTAGTCCTATATGGTTCAAATAATGAAGGAGCTAAAAAGCTTTAAGTTGTCCACAATGGAAAGGTCAATAAGAACTACAAATCCCTGTTTGCAAGCAACAGAAAATTAAACTCTGGCTGACTTAGAAACTAAAGGAAACATATTGACTTATGTGATTGAAAAATGTAGAGACAGGGCAGACTTCAGGCATAATTTAACTTGGATACTTATGATATAAGAGCTGTGGAAGGTACAAAAAGGAGCTGGTACCATTCCTTCTTAAACTATTTCAAACAATGGAAAAAGAGGGACTCCTCCCTAACTCAGTTTATGAGGGCAGCAGCATCGTGATACCAAAACCTGGCAGAGACACAACAAAAAATTTCAGGCCATTATCACTGATGAACATCAAGGCAAAAATCCTCAATAAAATACTGGCAAACTGAATCCAGCAGCACATCAAAAAGCTTATCTACCAGATCAAGTTGGCTTTATCCCTGGGATACAAGGCTGGTTCAACATATGCAAATCAATAAATATAATCCATCACATAAACAGAACCAATGACAAAATCGACATGATTATCTGAACAGATGCAGAAAAGGCCTTTGATAAAATTCAACACCCCTTCATACTAAAAACTCTCAATAAACTAAGTACTGATGGAACATATCTCAAAATAATAAGAGCTATTTATGAAAAACCCACAGCCAATATCGTACTGAATGGGCAAAAGCTGGAAGCATTCCCTTTGAAAACCAGCACAAGACAAGGATGCCCCCTCTCACCACTACCATTCAGCATAATACTGGAAATTTGCCAGGGCAATCAGGCAAGAGAAAGAAATAAAGGCTATTCAAATAGGAAGAGAGGAAGTCAAATTGTCTCCGTTTGCAGATGAACTGACTGTATATTTAGAAAACCCCATCGTCTAAGCCCAAAATCTCCTTAAGCTGATAAGCAACTTCAGCAAAGTCTCAGAATACAAAAAGTGTATGTGTCTGTATAAAAAGAGCTGTAGGTGATTTCTTCATTTTGTTGCCCTTTACACACTGGGCTCATTCTTTGTCTGGTATCTGTTATAGTAAATGCTAGAATCTCTCAGGATCCCAAGTTCCCTCATTCATTTGGGGAAGGAAGAAAGAACTTCTTGAACAACCATAGATCAAATGTTCTGAACTTCACTCCCATCAGGCTAATGTCAGACACATTCCTGCCCTCGAATCACTGGCTTTTACCAGGGGATAGTGAGGGTGCCAATTGGTTTGGACTAGGGTCTGCATCCATCACCAAAACAATAACTCTGGCAAGGGGAATAGAATTACTTCAATTGGCTCAGATTAATCAGAGTTCAGTAAAACAAAATCCTGTGCACTAATGGGTCTGTGGCCCTCAAAAAGAACATTTTATTTTCTAGTTCACAAAGAGGTACCTATGAATTAGCAGCAGCCATGACCTTGGAGTTCACGGATCATTCTCACTGGTTTTTGTATCTGTTCTATTTGCACTTTCAGATCCAGAATTCACCCTGCTATTTCTCAAGAGTCTGACCTGCATGAACAGCCTCCCTTATTCTGCGATCCCAGTTTTGGAGATCAAGGACAAGTTCATTCTGGGTTGGCTGTGTTCAACTACTTTAGGCCAGCTACATGCCCACTGGAAGCCAGGCTCTTGCCAACAGCTGTCTCCACATTCCTCTTTCTATGTCTGTTATTTGTCTCCAGGTTCTGATAACTACTTCCTCCTTTTACCCCTTCTGGCCTAGGGTGCCACCAATCCCTCCTCCCAATCGTGCTTTCACTAGCCTCTAAGTACTTGTAGCTTCCTCCCTTTACCTTCATCTTAATAAATTATCCCCCTACTATCTCTCTTCAAAGCACCCAATTTGAGTGTGCCAACCGTTTCTTGCCAGGATCCTGGCTGATACATCAACCAAGCTGCACAGCTGGAGGAGTACCGTGCTGAACTTTAGGAATGAAGCCACAGGGCCCTCACTGCCCGCATAGTCACCTTGGTCATCTTCCGCTTCCCTGAAAGACTGAGTTCAGTTGATTCAGGTACATGCATATCCAGACATGTCAGGGAAAACTCCATTTTGTAAGGATCTCGACTTACAATGCCAAAGGTTTGAAACTTTGCAAACGCTGGAGAAAAGCACAGTTCTCCATCTTATTCTTACTCTAAACTTGGAGATACATGCATTTTTTTTAAACGGTGCATGTTAGAATGCTGAAGTGTAGCAGATCATTTCCAGTTAGACACCACAAACAATATTTGATGAGGCCAAAAAATCGGAAAGAAGGAAATGAAAGATCTCAGGAATTTCAGGAAGAGCTCATTGAATGCTGTCTTTATGGTAGGCCATTTTATGCACAGCTCTGTTAATCAGGATTGGAAATTCCTCCATGAGGGAGTCTTAAGCTGAGGGAAACAGATGCCATAACAAAGAAAAAGAATGCAATAGAAGTTTGTCTTAATGCCTATTCTGCGATGCACAACTTTCCTAAGCCAAAATTTTAAACTTATGAACAATCAGTTCTGTGCTGCCATTAGCAGGGAACTATAAATTAAAGATAAGCAGTGGTTTAGACTTTCGAGGGCCTTGACTCAGGAGTAATTCTGGAATCCCAACAAAATACGTATTTGGTTAAGCAATTTGGCACATTTTTCTATTTTGAGGCATTAAACTATAATTGCAAGTCACTTTTATTTTATTCCAAATAAATGTTCCTAAAGTAGATATAACTAGAGAAGGTTTCCTTTAAAAAAAAAAAAAGTAAAAAGAAACAGGAAAAGAATGAATAAAACAAAACAACAACAACAACAACAACAAAAACAAAAGCAAAACAAAACTTAGTCAAGCTAACAAATTGTATGTATGGTGTGTTTTATAATTTGATCAGTATAAATAATTGAGTGTGTTAGTGCCTCAAGAGGACTCAGAGGACTCAAATACTCAACAGGTTATCTGCAGGAATTTCTCATTGGAGAAAAAAAAATAAAGTTTTTTTGAACAACCCACCTAATCAAAATAGTAATAATTTAACCTCTTCTCAAGTTTTTCCTTGATTAAAAAATCCCTTTGTTATTCTGCTCTAGTGTTTGTTGTAGATGGTTCAACAAGACTGGTGTTTTCTTAGTTTGAAAAGTAAGCTGATATGAGGGGTGGGGAGAGGAAGGGCAGAAAGTTATTAGCAATCAGCAAGTAAAGAAAAATAGTCTGAAAGTTGTAACGAAAGGAAGAAAGGACAGGAAAGGAAAGGTAAGGCTGGTGGAGAGTGACTATTCTGCCTGCTTACTGCACAGGCCAAGAGCAAACCCACAATAAAAGCTCCACCTCCTCAGAAAAAAGGTTTCTGTGCTGAATTACGTAGATCTACCTGAAATAAAGATGATGAATTAGAAAACCTCTCTCATCCCTTCAAGTCTTGTGATTTATTTATTTAGTGCCATTTCTCGTATAACTAATTTTTAAAGGGGGATAAGTAGAAGAATAAAATGTGATTTCTTTTTTCAGAGAGCCTAAAATATAGAAAGGTATTCATATACTGCTTAGATAAAGTTATTTTCTTTTTCTACGTCTATATAATGTTCCTTAAACTCAAGCTCTCTTCTCCCCATCTCTACCTTATCCCTCTGGGTAGCAAGGAAAAAGAAAAATAATGTTAGCCAATGGTTTCTTTGCCACCTCTGATTTAAACATTCCATTTTGATATGAGATTTCTTTTTGAGGTAAATATTCCAGGAATTCCAAATTCAAGTCCTTATTATAATGGTTTCTTCCTTTCAGTTCTTCTTCCCAAGATGGTGTCTGTCCTTGTGATCTTCTTGATCCTGGGTGGAGGAGGAGTAACCTGGTCTCTTGTGGTCTTTCACTGGTTGCCACTGTGGGTGGCAGGTCCACTCCTTGGGTGCAGCTTGTTCATCTCCAGTGGGCTTTGTGGGGTCATGCTTCTGAGCTGAAGTCAGCAGTAAGGAAACTCATGGTCTACTTCTTTGACATACATTCTTTCAGTCTATATTTGTGGTTCATGAAACTCCTCAAGGGAAACATAGTGCCTGACCACAATGGCATTTTTTTATTTACTCTGATGTTATCAATCATAATTTTCTTGTAGTGTTTGAAAGGAGAAATCGTATACTTCTAAAAACGCTATATATCACATAATATGTTTTCAGTAAATGTTGGTTTTCACTGCGCCACCTATTTTTTTAAAAAAATCATAATTAACTATTGAACAATGAACTATTTTAAATTTATTTTTAAATGGGAAAAAATGAATAAGATGTTTCTTCACTTCAAACTTGCTAAGTCATGACACGTAGGTTTCCTATTACACATGTAAAGTGAACACCGCTTTAGTAACAGTATCAATATCAGCAGAAAGTTAAAATAAATCCTCTACTAATTGATGAAATTGAACAGTTATTTAAGCTCTTGGTTTGTTACAACATGAGTTACTTGACTGATTTTAGCATTATACTTTAGATATGTGTTTATGTTTCAATTTTGTATTTATTATTTTAGTATCAGTCTAGAACAGTACAAAGAAGTTAGACTCACAAAACCCAAATATCTTTTTCTCTGCTCCCTTACTGCCTTTTATCATATAATTTCATTAAATATTTATGAATGCATTTTCATAAAGATGCAGTAATAAGCTTTATACCCTTTCCAGTCCTTTGTTTTCCATGTTGCTAATTTTTATATGTAGACTTTTAATAATGATACAATATTTCATCAACTAGACATTTCCCTATGAGATAGGTCATTTGGTAGTTTTTTTCAAGATTATACATAATATTGCAGTAGTCATTTTTATAAACATGGTAGAGTTTATTCCCCTTTTGACTAATTTTTAGTCAAATAGCTCTTCTATTCCCAAGAAGAGTTCACTGAGTAGTAGAGAATGAAAGTTGTATACTTTTGACCCGTGTCCCTGGGCTGTCCTCCAAAAAGATTGTTCAACAATGCTTGCAGGCTCCTGCTTTCACATGGTGACTTCTGCTAGCAATAATTCAAGTTTCATGGGCATTTTTTTTCTTCTGGCTTGACTGAGTCTTCTTTTCTTGAGGTCTTCCATTTCAATTCTAAGTAAGATATAAAATATCATTTTTTCCACAACTAGTAAACTAATAGAATTTTCTTTCTTTTCTTTCTTTCATTTCACCTTAAGCATCTCTTATTTTCTAACAGCAGAGCAGATTAATTTTTATAAAAAATGTTTTTTAAAATGTGTAACATATCTGGAAGTAGTAAGTAAAACTTAGTGAGCATTTACTATGTCCTGGGCACTTTCTGTGTATTAACTTATTGAATCTTAATAACTGTGTATTATTCCCATTCTAATTCTACACATGAGAACATAGAGATAAAACAGCTGAATAATTTGCCCTCCATGTCATGCTAGTGCATGACAGAGCAGAGATCTCAACCCAAAAGTCTGATGTTAGAGTCCTACACTAAATCACTGTGCTTTTCTGGAAATGACAGCAGAAATTGTTGTCTGCTAAGTAGCAATTCTATGGATGACTCGTCTTTTTTTCTTAGGAATTTAGATTTAGATTAGAAATTGGCCAGAAAATAAACACTCCTCCTTTAATAAATCTTTCCTGTCATCTTCCTATTCTCCCACAATGCACATATACAAGGGCAGAATGGGAAGGAATATAATATAAAAGACAAAAAACCATTAATCTTTCTACCTTCATAAACTTTTCATTCAGTGAAAGTCACCAAGTACAATCAGAAAACAATTTTTCTGTCATCAGTTTGTGAGCCAAACTCTAATCATATTCTTTAGTAGAGCCTAAAATCAACATGTGATTTGTAAAATAATAATTTCATATGCAGCACCCTTTCCCTGAAGTCCACAAAGACATTTACAAATAGTAAACCTAAGAAATACAAATTATTTACTTAAATTATTTTTTCTTTCATTATATTGTGGTAAATGTTTAACATGAGGTCTACTCTCAATAAATTTTTAAGTACAATTTACTTTTTGAAAGTTTGTTCATTAATGACATGTTCTCCTCCAGATTGTTATTTAGAATCTTGCTGACCTAGTAGAGTTAAGCACTTTGACAGATTAATATCTAATTATGTTATTACTGTTAGATTTGAACAATTTTCCTTTGTATTTCTAAGTATTAAGTATTCTTAGCTGAACACAGTGGCACACACCTGTAATCCCAGCACTTTGGGAGGCCGAGGTGGGAGGATCATCTGAGGTCAGGAGTTTGAGACTAGCCTGGCCAACATGGTGAAACTCCGTCTCTACTAAAAATACAAAAATTAGTCAAGCGTGATAGTGGGCACCTGTAATCCCAGTTACTTGGGAGGCTGAGGCATGAGAATTGCTTGAACCTGGGTGGTGGAGGTTGCAGTGAGCCAAGATTGTGTCACTGCACTCCAGCTCGGGCGACAGAGTGAGATTCCATCTAAAAAAAAAAAAAGTATTCTCATGCTACAAAAGTTGAAACAAAATACAAAAAAATAAGACTTTGAAAAAATCAGTAGCTTAAAGAGAAAAGTCTTGAACTATAAAAATTATACTTGCATTTTTAACTTTTAAAATGCACTTCTATTCTCATGCTACAAAGGTAGAAACAAAATACAAAGAAAAGACTTTTAAAAAATCAGTAGCTTAAAGAGAAAAATCATCCACTATAAAAATTACACTTGCATTTTTAACTTTTAAAATGCATTTCTTATTTATATTACTTTCAACTTAATACTAGGAGGTGCCTTTAAACAGATATTGGTCTGTCTCATTTTGCAGATAAATGCACTGAGGCAAAATAAATCAAAGTCATCAGTATTAAATGAATGCATCTTTTTTGTGCACTTTCACTAACTTAATTTAGTTAGAAAGTTAAGC